GTGCTTTAACCACTCCTTGTTCACCACACTTCTTCTGAGATATCCTCCACTTGAAAGAATCCAGGGTGATGTGCATATCGACTACGTTTGGACTGTTTGGTACAACCATGTTATGGCTCTGTTCGACAAGTGCATGATATGGCGGCTCATTACTACTGGGCATAAGAACAAAAAACCCTGGTACAATGCCCATCTACAGAAGCTGAAATCAAGGCAGAATAGATTATATCGACAGTTTCTGAAGCCTCCCCAGGATCCAGTTTGCCACTCAGCATACAAACTAGCCCGTAACTCCTACCGACTTGAGCTGCGTAAAGCCAGAGAAAACCACCACCGAAGACTGGCTGATGATCTTGAAGCCACTCGTCGGGGCACTTACCACTGGTGGAAGAAAGCGAAAACACTCTGCCAGATTAACAATGTACGTTCCCGAATCCCCAATCTTCATATGAATAATGTAACCGCTGAAACCCCTGCGGAAAAGGTAGAAATGCTCAGTTCCCACTTCTCAGCACAGTGTACCTCATCCAGCATACATCCAGATTGCTCTCCGAATACCGAACCCTTGCCACTAGCCGAGAAGTTCAGCTTCACTCCTATCAGCGCAAGCCAGGTGTGTAGGGGGATGAAACAGCTCTCCACGAGGAAAGCTACCGCTGACCCATAACTTGTCCCTGTTCTGCGCCATCATGCTGATCAGCTCTGTGAATCACTGGCGTACGTCTTCAACAAGAGCCTAGATGATGGCTGTTTCCCACAGGATTGGAAACGGTTTCACCACTGTACAAGGGCAAGGGAGAGCAATCGGACCCCAGCAACTACAGGCCGATTTCCCTGCTCAAAATCGTGCCTCAATTATTTGAACTGATCTTAGCGGATGATCTACGTGATTTCGTCCATGACATTCGTTATATCAGCAGTGCCCAATTCGGTTTTGTCAGAAACCGATCTACGGAGGAGCAATTGCTCTTGATGACACATCAAATGGCTGAGTGCAATGACAAGAAGCTGAAATTCGACTGTGTTTTCCTCGACTTTAACCCTTTGGAACTGCACTGATCACACGACGTCGGGAGATAGCTGCAATTGCAAGTATATTCGTTCCAATTTCCATCATAACGCTGGTTCTACTTCACCGATTTTGACGATCTTGGGCTCGTTGGAAAGCTCTTGGAACGAGGATAACAGCGAGCCCAAACTCATTCAGGAGAGCGATTGCTGTCTGCTACTGAATGCCAGGAACGCCAGCTGAATACCAAATCCAAACCGGGAATAGTCTAACAGACTCACAAAAGCCGTGACAAAAAGCGCTGGGAGTGATGTCACACGCTGCGTGGGCAGGAAGAGGGAAAATCCCACTTTTGAACGAAATTTGCACTTCGCTGACGCATGAGAAATCGAGCGAAAGTTCGGGCACTTGCCGCTCTGTTATACTAGCTCGTATCGACCCCGGAGTTTTTCGAGCCGACAGCTTAGATTCTCTGCTACCTCGTAGGTATTTCGATTGTTGAATTCGGTTGAGATTTGACTTAGTTGTGACTCGTTGAGTGCACTTGCACACATGACATTGGCATCGTTCGAATTCGAACGATCACCTCCAAAGGCTTTTGATCGTGTGGATCATCAAGCATTGCTAAATGCATTTGAAGGAATTGTTGATAGGCAAGCAGTCGACTGGCTCCGAAGCTTCTTATCTGAGCGGATGCTGTCTGTAAGGTTGGAAGGACAATATTCCGAGGCCAAGGTCCTCACCTGTGGAGTCCCGCAGGGATCGCATCTTGCTCCAACCCTCTTCTTATTTGTTAATTCCCTGCCCTCATCAATCACCTACTGCACCCCATACTTATTTGCTGACGATGTCACCCTCCTGTATGTACATGATAACAAGAATTCCCTGCAGTAGAACCAATCTCGTCTAGAGAGCGACCTTTCTGCCTGCCAACTATGGGCCAGCAACGTCGGTGGAGAGTTCTCACCGGCCAAAACGACTCAGATCCGTAACTACAGTAACGACCACCCTATCCAGCTCTCTTCCCAACCTATCACCATCGTTGAAGCTGCGAAACATCTTGGAGTGTATTTAACACCCGACCAGTCCTACACCATCCACCTTCAGACCATCCTGAAAACCTTCCAACGTCGTGTGAATCTGCTATGCTTCATGGGACGGCATCTTGCCCCCACAGCCTTTCTACTTCTATATAAAGGTTTTGTCCGACCCGCCCTGGAAAACACCACGTCGGCCTGGTCCTATGCCATCACCAAAGCTGAGCTGGAGCGTTTCAATATTTTACAATCCAGAGTAGCTAGGAAGTATTTGCTACGTAAAAACGTCAATGTAGATAGATGCGAAACGAAATCCCAGTTAAACGCCCTTTGTGACTTAGAGTCCTTGCACTTTCGCAGACAAGTATCAGCTCTTGTTACTCTATTTAAACTTATACATATATCTCCAGAACATCTCCAACATTTTCACCTTTCATTGTCTTCAAGTCCAAGAAGACCAAACAAACTTAACATCAATTATCACGGTGTGCGTTTTTCTTCCCTCTTTTCCAACAAAGCTGCAATGCTATGGAATTGCCTACCGCCTTCTCTTACCGCTATAACCAGCCTCCCCGAATTCAAGCATTCTCTCTATCAGCATTTTCGCCGATATATTCATTACACTGACGGTATCCCAACTCCTTAATTACCAGATTTTGTATGCCTCGATCTATTTCCTTAGCCTATCCTCGATTAACTGCTCCCTCTACATAAAGTTGTCATTTCATTCTTCTTGCAGGAGATCCCCTCGACAGGCCTTGTGCTGATGGTAAACAGGATCCTCGCCTCAAGAGACCGCCGCATGTTCACGGGTGTGGTCCTCCTGGATATGTCGAAGGCGTTCGACAAGGTTCGCCACCAGCAACTAGTCGAAGATCTCTTCTGTGTGGGCGTCACTGGAACAGCGCTCCAGTGGCTCATGTCATACTTGTCTGATCGCTGCCAGATTGTCCAGCTGGGATCCCAGCTTAGCACAGTGGCAGCCTGCTCCTGTGGAGTACCACAGGGGTCGGTATTAGGTCCACTGCTGTTCAGCCTTTACACCCGGGACATACCATCTGTTGCCCAGCAAGCTGAGTCCATCCAGTTCGCAGATGACATCGCACTGACCTGCAGTCGCCCAACACAACAGGAACTGACCGCCACTCTCTCCAGAGCAGTGACATGCATTGCTGACTGGCTGAAGCAGCGAGGTTTGATCCTTAATGCATCAAAAAGTCAGGCATTGGTAGTACCGGCTGGGAAGCTAGAAGCGCAACCTGAACTGGACGTATGGTGTCATGCGACTAAGCTGCCATCTGTCTCTTCTGCTCGCTACCTCGGAGTTCACATTGACAGCGCCATGTCTTGGAACACCCAGATGGATAGGTGCGTTGCCCGCCTCACCAAGAAAGTCGGTGTGCTGTGGCGGATGCGCCGCTGCCTCAGCATGCAAAGCCGCATCCAGTACTTCAAGTCGGTGATCATGCCTGATTTCTCATATGGCTCCAATGCCTTCTCTGCATCGCTGGCGGGTAAGCACCTGGACCGTCTCCAAGTTCTGCAGAATCGTGCGGCTCGAGCTCTGTACGGATGCTCGCCGCGCACCTCTGCCAGAAACCTGCTGGTCCAACTCGGCGCCTACCGTGTCTGGGAGATCTTCATCCAGAAGCTCATCTTCCTGGTTTGGCGCTGCCGCTACTCCCGTGCTAGCCCTACACTGCAAGTGCTGTTGCTACCAACCAGTGGCGCTCCTACTCGGCTGCAATCATCGATGGGTCTAAGACCACCGCCAACCCGCACTGAGCTGGGTAAGGGTTGTCTCGCGTTCCAAGGAGCTAGGCTCTGGAATGCGTTGCCCAGCGAGGTGCGGGCCATACCGCACCCGGCCCAATTTCGCACTGCTGCTGTTCCACACAGCATGAACCCTTGAGGTCAGACGGATCACTATCGCCATATTTTCATTATATGCCTGCCTGTTGGCCTGCCTGCCCGTCTCTCTCCCTGTTCTCTGACAACTTGCTTGTTAATTCGTGCGGTTGTTTTCAGACGTAAAGCCCTGCTGTAGAGGTCTCAGCCCTCATTTGTTAGTCTCTCTCTCTCTCTGTCTCTCTCTCGCTCTCGGATCTCTCTCTCTCTCTCTCTCTCTCTCTCTCTCTCTCTCTCTGTTTTTGGTGGACAAAAATATCTCTGGCGTTGATTGCTTTCTTGCTTCGACTTCTGCCGCGCCTTTGTTCTCGTACTCCCCTTTATGTACAAGTGTTGTGCAGACCCTCCCTTAATATAGTCTGTCTCATTTTGTCCTGAGATGTTTTGATGCATAGTGATTATGACGCTCATCATTCGCTCCCTTGTCACTGGACAGTTCTGTCCGTTTGGTTTTAGCGAATTCAAATAAAGAAAACAACAACAACAACAACAACAGGCCCAAAGCCTTTGAGAAATCCTTAAATATAATAAAATACAAAAAGCTATCATCTCCACTGGAGATGGGGCGTCAAAGGTCAAAGGTCAAGGTGTGCGTGAGTGTATGTAGATGTGGGTTAGATAATGCGTACTTGTGTGTGTGTATAGGCGTGTGTGTGTGTGCGCACGCGCCCAGGCACGTATGTGCGTGTGTGTATGAATGTTTCCCGTCAGGTTTTTACTCATGTAATAGTAAGACCTACACTGTGATACCCCGATGGCATATAACCACCTCTAGTCACTTCACTTGCTTTCCTTTACAATACATAAATTAAATATGAGCCAATTTTTACCGTTTGAAAAGAGATTGATCTGCCTGCTGATTCCCTGAGTGTCAAACTTGATTTGCAATAACACCTCTCTCTACTTTACTAGCACCTACTAATATTATTCAAGAAAGGGAAGAGGTTGCCATGATATCATCTTGGGTAGATGCACAATACTGAGAATACCTATGTCAAGTGTCTCGTCATTATAACTAACAACACTCACAGTCATTGTGTACATACCTACAACATTGATTTGATATGTCTCTTCTGACATTGCTGTATCTGTAATACACCTGTACAGTCCAGTGTAGGTTGGGTCCAGAGTGTCATGTGATGAGGTGTTCCAGTATAGTAATGTATGGCCGGAGGGTGGAACAGTAAACGCTCCCTGTTCAGCTACAGTTGCATTGGTATTAGTATTGATCAGTTGTATATACTGACCACTAGCACCAGAATCCAGTTCGAAAACCACACACGATGGTAAAAAGGACTGTCCAACGTGTGCTGTACTTGATCCACTTAGGTAGTAGCCTGTGTGTGATTGTAGTGCTGTAACTGCCAATAGCACAACAACCTGACCTGTACACAGCCACACAACAAAACAATACAATACAACACGACCCAGAACACATCATGACTGATGTAACACAATTACAACTTGGAAGGTTCTAAGTTATCTTCGCATCTTTAATGCCACACAAATTGTGTGGGATGTTGCTTTGCGTGCTTGAATCGTGGTTTGATGATATTGACCAATGGTCTTGGTCAGTATTGTCATCGACATGCATGAACATCCGCCAAAGTCCTTCACAGCTGAGACTTTCAGCTCGTGCTCATCTTGGTTGCACTCACCTTTCCCTCCTTATGTTATTTCTACAACTTAGAACCTTCCAAGCAGGAAGGCTGTTGGAGTGCGCATCCAAGATGTGCCAGAGCTGTTTGCCAGTTAGTTGTAGAACGTCAGTCAGTGTCATGCAGTGTTATCACATGAGCTGATTGTTTGCGAACTGGTGGTGTAAGTGGTGGTGTTAGTGGACAATATAGCGTAACGTGTAGTTCCTTGTAATTCCTTGGTTCTTTTTATTTTCTATGAAATTATGGTTGGTCCGGCTATAGAGAGAGCCTTCACTGTGGCACAAGCTGTAGTCCTGTACCGACATGTAGTCTTTTGCAGGTGTGGGATACGCCTATACGTTTTAGGCGTGCAAAACGAGTAGGAGGGATTTTCAGAATGTCCCTTTCGGAAATCATTGGTGCAGATTTGGCCGCACCGGCCGCACCGATTCCAATGCCCCTGACATTTTTATCCGCTTTCATAATTATAATCTTCTGCATGATTTTAATCATATTATGCATACATTTCCATTCACTATTCATCATTTTGTCGGAACTAGGTCTCCGGACCTGGTGAGAAGGCAGTAAAATAAAATAAACAAACAACAAACATTACACCAACGACGACTAGCATGACCTAGAGTATAGCCCCACCCCCCCCCCCCCCCCCCTCCCCCCACGGTTTGGAACTCCCATGTACTAGTACTCTGATGTACTGGTGTGCACTCTTTTGAGTGATTGGAATCTTCCTACACGGTACATCCTTGAGTCTTATAACGCCTATAGGGCGGATATATCTGCCAGACTCTACAGTGCATGCTGAGATTTTTTTTACTATTGAACACTCACTGCATGATGAACTAAAATGAGGAGAAGAACTCGACACAATGGTACATATCCAGCAGGACGCAGTGGGTGGGACCTGTGAAGCTCAGCCGACCAAGGGTCTCGGCATCACAGCTGCACATGTGCACCAAAGGAAAAAAAATGGGGAGTGGAAGGGCGGGGAGGGGAGCAGGAGAGCAAGACCTCTAAGGGTAGGAAAGAGAGGAGGGGGGGGGAGTAAACCAGGAAACTTGTTATTCCAAGATATGAGTGCAAACAAGTACGCAAACAAGTACAAATATAGCAGTATCAAGATCATGATGCTGAGGTGAAAGTAGAGGCTGATTGCCGTGCAGATTTGACAAGAGATTAGAGTTAGAATAGAGGAGAGTTAGAGAAATAAAGACAGATGGATTGGGAGTTTGATGAGAAGGGTGTGCTCCGAGAACATGAACAGGGTCGTACTGGCAGTAGCCTAGGGGGCGATGTCCGTGGCCAATGACCAACCCGACCGTTTCAGGTAGCGGTAGGTCTGAACCTTGAACTGCTGCATCCCTTTGGCAGATGGTGCATTGCGGAGGAGAGTGGCTGGCAGTTCATTCCAGGCTTCGATGAGGCACTCCGGGAAAGAGCGCAGCGCAACATTGCACGATCTGGCAGGTAGGGCTGTCTGGAGTTGAAGCTCGTGCGCAAGGTTGGCTGCCGAGCGGCGACGTGTGGCAGGCGCGATGGCGGGTGCAATGGCTCTGGCTGGGCGTGTCGTTGCAAGAGCTGGTGGGCTTGCGATGTAATGGAGCTTGTACAGAGTTGTGAGGCCGGCCACACGGCGCCGCAGGGACAGAGTGTCCATTGCAGCCCCTGTCCCAATCAGGGTGAGGGCACCAGATGACTTCAAACTTTCGCCATTTGGTCAATTCTTGTTTGTATTCAACAAACGAAATGTCTAAACGTATCAGAAAAGCCTCAGCTGTCGGCTCTAAAAAACCCGAAGACGATTCGAGGTCATGGCGCAGAGTTATGACACTATAACGAACTTCGCGTGGGCGAATCGGCTCGCGCCGGCGTAAATTTGAAACGCCAGCAAGGGACTTTCCCTGACTCGCTGCTGACGGGTGCGCGACTGGTATACATCATTTTGAAGCTGCATTTTGAAGCTCTCTCCTGCAAAAAAATTGACCGTTCTGTGATTGATATTGTATGCTGAGAATTTAGGTTGCGTTTGGTTGGGCATTTTCAGAATGTAAATGACAACCATTCTCGAATTTATTTATTTATTTATTCAACATCTTATGGCTTCCGATGGCAGCCAAAACGGGAAGATGTGGGTGATAGCCAACCATGGTAAAAGAAGGAGAATATTATATACATGAAAAGGAAACAGCCGAAAAGCTATATTGATTAGTTTTTACTTGCAAGTATTATTATTATGGTGCACTCAGTCATCAGCAGGCCCTCAGGTTCACTTTAAATTCTTTCAATGATGCAGAAGTCTTCAATGAGTCGGCAAGTTGTAGCCATGCGCAGTAGACCTGGAAGAATGGCGATCTTGTGAATTGCGTTGACTTGGCCTTGGGAAGAGACACATTGTTTCTGGTTGAGCGGCCCGAAACAAATCAGTTAAAAGGCTTTATGTTCAGGAACACAACCCAAGAGCATTCGATGAACCAATATACAGAGGCAAGTTAGTCGGCGTTGCTCTAACGGAGTAGTCTGAGCTAATAAGTACAACTCACTGGAGGGAAAGGAAGGCTTCTTCGAGAACACAATTTTTAGAACTTTCTTATGATGAACTTCAATGGAATCGGATAAGACCTTAGCTAGGCCACACCAGGCTGTGGCAGCATATTCAAACAATGGAAGGAGATAACTTTTATATATAGCGGAACGGCACGGAATAGAGAGATGTTTACAATGACTTTTAATATAGCCAAGAGCACGGCTGACTTTATTACAAATGTAATCTACATAAGCCGACCAGGACATGGATGAATCGAACATTACCCCTAGGTGTTTGTGCTCCTTTACCGTCTGAATTTCTGTGGGTGAACTGGGAAAGGTGAACTTAAACATTGAGGCAGAATCTGTTAGAAACAGTACTCTGGTTTTTGAAACGTTTGCCTGAAGCAAACTGGACATTTATCGCGTCTTGCAACTCTGACTCAAGCTGTTTGACAGTTTTACAGTGGCGCAAAGCAGCTGTATCGTCAGCAAACAATGACATTCCAGAAACATGACTTGGTAGATCATTAACACACAAAAAAAAGCAATGGTCCTAGAATTGAGCCCTGAGGCACCCTCGAAAGCACGGGTAGCTTTGGAGAGTCTACTCCCGACAGGGACACAAACTGGCTTCTCCCAGAAAGATAGCTCTCTATCCACATCAACGGTGTGTCAGAGATGTTAAACATGACTTGAAGCTTCCTCAAGAGACCTCTATGCCACACTGTGTCAAACGCCTTGGCAAGATCGAAGAAGCAAATGCCCGTGTACAACTTTTCTGCTCTTGCTCCGATAATGTCCTGTACAAGGCGAGTCAGCTGCAGTGAAGTTGAGTCTCCACGACGAAAGCCAGACTGAGCAGGGTGAATGGCAGGGGCAACATGGCTATACAACTGATCATAAAATATTCGTTCACATAGTTTTGAAATGCATGATAAGAGAGAGATTGGCGTATAATTTCCAGGAGTAGCTTTAATACCTTTGCCCTTAAATATCGGCGTTATTTTGGCCACTTTTCATGCCGATGGAAACTTCTCTTTTCTGAAAGACAAATTAAATAGAAGACATAAAGGATATGATAATGATGGTGCTAGAGCCTTTCCAACTTCATTGGAGATGCCGTCCATACCAGGCGATTTGTTAAGCTTAAGCTTCGCAATAGCTTTGCGCACTCCAGCTGTGGTTATTATCGGAGCACGAAACGCATTCGGGAGGCAAGGGTGTTGGTCTAAGGACGGCAATAGTATGCGTGGGTCGTCAACAACCGCCACTGATGCAAATTGCTCGTTCAAAGCTGCAGCTTTAGCTGCAGGGTCTGCTGCCAACTTTCCATTTGATGCGAGGTCAGGTATTCCAGGGCTATTTCTCGAAGATCTCTACATGCGAATGAATTTATGCACTGAAGGGTGATTACTGGTATCGCAAATCAGGACCTGCAGCTTTCGGATATACTCCCGGTGACATTTCCGGGACAGCGACCTCACAATATTTCGTTGCTTTTTATACAGATATATGTTGACAGGACTTGGGTACTTCCTGCTCCGACTGTGAAGTTCCGCCTTGTGACGGATAGCACCTTTCAATTCCGCATTAATCCAGGGCAGAAGTTGTTTCGACAGGCGTGATCCCCCTGTGTCCCTGATGGAGCAACGCTCATAGTGCTGGACACTAATGTGCTGCGTAAAGACGCGGTCTAGAACAGTCTGAATATTTGTAAGTGATTCGTCCACATCTGACGTATCAACCGTATGCCAGGCAACTGCCGCTAGATCATCATTAATACCCGCCCACATGGTAGGTGTCACTCTCTTAAAATTGTACTTACGGGCAGAAGATGACTGCACAAAATCCCTGGATGAAGCACAAGAGGGAAGTGGGTCCATGGGGATATCAAGCTGGCATGAAACGAGGAGGTGATCCGATGCACCCAGAGCACAGGCTGTGTCTATGGACGACACTAGTTGGCTACGATTGCTGAAGATGAGGTCCAAGCATGCCTGGTTGCCTGAAGGTGCGGTGTGCGTGTTTGTGGCGACCAGTTGTTGAAGACCAAAGCAGCGAAACTCTCGTTGTATTGCAGCACCAGCAGGGCATGTATGGTCTGTTGAGCACCAGAGGCTGTTTTTCCATTCAAATCTCCAGCAATGATGACGTGAGAGGACGATACAGGAATCATCCTGAGAGTTTTGTCCAAGCTCCTGGTTGAAGGCGGTCGATACGTACAATAAACGACAATTGGTTCAGTACGGCTTGACCTGGGCGTGAGCTGGACCCATACAGCCTCACACATAGGACGGAGTAGATCCGGGCGATATCGTATGGATCTAAAACGGTGTTCTAGAACAAGGATTGCAACACCACCGTATGCCCGGGAGGTGGTGCCAGACTTGTTTTCACAAGGCGGTCTGTCTCGCCGATAGGTTAGGTATCCCGGAATACAGAATGGTATAGTAGGCTCTAGCCAAGTTTCAGTTAAGCAAATCACATCAGGGTGGTGTTGTTCGACGATTACGGACAATTCAGCATGTTTATTGACAATTGAACGGCAGTTTGTTGTATACAATAGGAAAGTCTCCTTCACTTGCTCGGCTGGATGACGCAGAAGAGCATACGGCCTGGCATTGGGGTTAAGGTTAGAACAGACACAGGATTCGGGGAAGAAGAAGAACGGAGCTGCATCTGGGTTCAACGAAGCCACGGAAGGAGAGAGCAGTCACTGAGCAGCGATTTTCGCAGACACCCCCACCCCGTCACTGAACCTCCATGGCCGAACAGCATGCTGAATAGTCTCCGGCCAGAAAGAGTCACCCATCACCCGATTGGTGGTCTCCTCAGGTACGGGGTAAGTCTTGCGTAGGAGGTGCCAAAGTACCGCGATGTGGCTACGGAGCATGCAAGCACCTCTACATCTCGCTCTTTACACCAGTTGACAATAGATGTCGCCTCACAGCCCGGAGTGATTTTGCCGATGAAGAAAACCTTCCTCCGGGTTCGCACGGCTCCGGTCAGCACGTTCGGAGAGGTATTAACGGGTGTGGGCTTTTCATAGGCAGAAGTGGCAGTCCTGGTCAGGGCCTCTTTACGGAATGGGTAAGAATCACCTGACCAAATAAACGCGCCAGAATCAACTAGGAATCACTTGGCATAACAATTCCATGATGTCGATGTGGAACAGCGGCTATCGTCTCTTTTACCCGACTCTAGTTTCCTTGACAGAGTCAAGGTACTTCTGAGTGCATGATTTGAGGCACTTGAACCTGATGCTACATTGTTTGGCTCGTGGCAACTATTACCATTTTTGATTCAGAAATGAGAATGCTGGAATGGGACCAACCTAAAAAAAAAAGTTTATTAGACCTTTAAATAAATGTAGAAAAGAAAAGGACATATGGACAGGAGTTAAGCGTAACTCTCCATCACTGTAACTGGATACTATATACAGTCAGAAAGTACAATAACTAGGCACACAACTGACAGAGTACTGAGACATTCGACGTCCTGACACCTAGCTTCAACACATCTCCGTAGCGCTAACCGACAGCAAGGGTGAGCGGGAATGGGAAGTGGAGGATAAGAGTGATACTGACGAGGAGGAGTTCGACATTGACAAGTGCAAGTCTGCCATCTACAAGTTGTTTGACGATTCCTGGTTTAGTGTTATTTGTTGCGCACGTTTCTTTAAGAGAGCATGTCTGAGAATACCAAAGTATGTGTGCAAGTGGATCTCTCCGATTTCGCTCAAAATTTGCAGGTAGGTTCCCTTTGGGGTGTGGATCGATTATGCAAAGCCCTTGAAAAAGTTTCTGAAGGGAACCTTGAAATTTGCATACCCCTCAAAAATGGCCGAAATATCACATTATTTATGGGTCTAGAAACGAGTCACGCCACAGCGTATACGAACAAGCTATGAACAAAACTCCATCAAGCCAACATTGCCTCACCTTAGAAGAGTTCCTGGAGCAGTACCGCTTAGCCACGCCAGCATCCCAGAAGACGAGGTCCATCACCCCCTGACGCCACAAATGATCGTCTTGAAAATAGCCAATTTAAAAGCGCTGGCAAAACAGCCAGCTACGTCCTCAATTGGCCAGAACTATACACCTGCAGATAGTAGAACACCTCTTCTAGCGCTGAGGACATGTCCCCCATCTTCCTTTTGGGGTTTTCTTGAAATACACTTTTTTGAATTTTTCCACTCGACCATGCTGAAATACGGCCAAAGTCATACCTGCGCAGGAAAGCTCGCCACTCCGCGACGTCTCCTCAGCAAGTTCTACTCCAACACTACTCCCAAGGCCGCAGAACAAAGTGTAGTGTTGACTCTGACAAGGAAAAGCAGCGGTGATCACTTGTCACTCCAAACGACAAGCTTCTCCTTGCGCCACCAATAATTTTTTGTGCGACTGTTGATGCAAAAGTGACTGAAGGCCTGAGCGTAGTTTTTGAATTTTATTGCAAGATGCACGGTGAGATCGCGTGCCCTGTGACGTAGATGACGCTTCCTGCATCACGTTACGCGGCCATCGATCGCGAATGTGCCTGGAACGCTACTCGGAACAGACCATGATGGCAGAGGTAAGATGAGCTTCATTTCCTGCTTGAACTGCTGAGAACCCCCACAAACTGTCCTAGGAGTGTTGCAATGGCAGCAAGCCGTTGAAATATGCCCCGTACAGCATGGAGAGTTATTCGTCTTTCACACTTACCTCCTGCAATCCCGAACATAGTCCAACAGTAAAAGTCCCTTGTTTTCATGTCGATGCTCAACAAAAGCGACTAGCTCGGTCCCTTTCTGTTGACTGGCACGCGAGCAGCACTGGCTGCACGCACTTGTCGCGTGAACTGCATGAGAGATTTCTGACGTCATAAAGAATGTGATTTCATCATCATTTCACTGGTCCTCGACCTACATGGTCAGGGAAAGTCCCGGTTCGTAGGCCTACAACACGGTCAGCGTGTTCTTGAGCGCCGTAACAACACAAGTGTGATCACTTCCAGACCAACGGGAGTTCAAGGCGAGTAACAAGCGCACTTGACAAAGGTGACTCTGAAATCTCGTGAGCCGTGGGCCACGCGACTTGGCATTCTTGCGTCACAAGGCACGTGATTTCACCGTGCATCTTGCAATAAAATTCAAAAACTGCGCTCAGGCCTTCAGTCACTTTTGCTGCAACAGTCGCACAAAAAATTATTGGTGGCCAAGGAGAAGCTTGTCGTTTGGAGTGACAAGTGATCACCGCTGCTTTTCCTTGTCAGAGTCAACACTACACTTTGTTCTGCGGCCTTGGGAGTAGTGTTGGAGTAGAAATTGCTGAGGAGACGTCGCGGAGTGGCGAGCTTTCCTGCGCAGGTATGACTTTGGCCGTATTTCAGCATGGTCGAGTGGAAAAATTCAAAAAAGTTTATTTCAAGAAAACCCCAAAAGGAAGATGGGGGACATGTCCTCAGCGCTAGAAGAGGTGTTCTACTATCTGCCGGTGTATAGTTCTGGCCAATTGAGGACGTAGCTGGCTGTTTTGCCAGCGCTTGTAAATTGGCTATTTTCAAGACGATCATTTGTGGCGTGAGGATGTGATGGACCTCGTCTTCTGGGATGCTGGCGTGGCTAAGCGGTACTGCTCCAGGAACTCTTCTATGGTGAGGCAATGTTGGCTTGATGGAGTTTTGTTCATAGCTTGTTCGTATACGCTGTGGCGTGACTCGTTTCTAGACCCATAAATAATGTGATATTTCGGCCATTTTTGAGGGGTATGCAAATTTCAAGGTTCCCTTCAGAAACTTTTTCAAGGGCTTTGCATAATCGATCCACACCCCAAAGGGAACCTACCTGCAAATTTTGAGCGAAATCGGAGAGATCCACTTGCACACATACTTTGGTATTCTCAGACATGCTCTCTTAAGCAGTTGCAGGTGTTGGAAGCTGTATATATTCGCACACGTGACCCTGTTCTATGCAAGCAAAAAGAAAATGTTGTAGAACTCACACTTTTTAAATAATACGCAATCACCAGTTTTGTCCACATGCACTCACAGCTGCCACATTCATCTACTGCTACCATTCTCAGATACACTGCAAAGTTTCACACTACACGCGCTATGCATAACTGCTAGCTGTGCTGCATATTCACGCTTCTTTTCATATTACTCTAGATATATAACTGGTTGTTTTAGTGATTCTTACTATGTGACGATGTTCCACTGATGATAGTCACACGAAAACGTTCTGGAATTGTTTCATTTTAATTGTTTATACATGGTTATGAGTGCACAATTGACATTTTTCATTGCTATATGCAACATCTTCCTGTCGGAGTCTCCCGCTTCTGGGCCGGCATGGCCCATGCTTCATGCGTGCTTGTTCCTGGTGTTGTTATGTCTACTGTGTCCTGCCGCCACTCCGGCTTTGGCGGTGACCACGATGTGTCTCCACATTTTCTCCTTCATCCTTTCCTTTGTCTTTTTGCTAAAAGCTTTCTTCTCGCCGTGACCACAATTTTTCTTCTTCTTCTCCATTATTCTTTTTCTTTCCTTCCTTTCTCTTCTTCCTTTGCTGAGAACCTTCTGTTCCCATATTTTCTTTTCATCTCTGTCCCCATTCCTGGGTTATTTGGACTTCATTCACTTCCTTGTCATTGGACATGTTCAGTCCATTCGGTTTGCGAATTAAAAAAAACACAACCACCAACAAACCAACATGCTCATAATACTTTCACTCAACAGATTCACGCTTACTGTAACAAGTGAAGCCGTTTCCATTGTATCCGGTGATGCATTTACACGTAAAATTTCCAATTGTGTTCGTGCATTCGGATCCTGTTCCTTTACACTGAGTCAAACACTCGTCAACATCTGAAAAGAATGGAAAAAAGTCAATTTCTACATCAGACAAAAATCGAGTAGGAGCACAAGAAGGCAAGTTTTCCGACGCGAAAAAAACTACTTTTTCACTTGCTGCATGTCAGCGCCTTTAAAGCCATGGCCTTATAGTCGAAGCACCGCTGCTTTCCTTTCTATTATAGACGTAAAATGACGCACCCACTACCCCATGCCATTAAATTCAATGTCAAAACAGAAATTTCAATCTAAATTGGATAAAAAGAAATGACAAAATGTTACGAGTTATGACTAACTCTTCACCACAGTATCAGTTTGTGAAATGTCTCAGTACTCCTTGTCAGTGTGTCAATGTGCCGCAATCGCTGACTGTATATGATCTGGATACGCTGGTTGACAGTTATTCATAACCCGTAACATTTTGTCCTTTATTTTGATACTAATTTCACTTGTTCACCATTCTTGCTGTATGAAGCCCATGGCTTTATTTAACTGAGACTGGCTTTATAATCAACTATACCTCCATGACTTTGAAGGTCTGGACATACGGTGTAATTATTTTTCCAGCCTACAGTCCATTCATAAAAAGATGGGCTTTGGTTCTGGCAAGCTCCCGTATTTGGCGATTTTTCGTTATTTTATCGGACACATAAAACACAGTGCAGTGCAGAAAAAATGAAATGTGAAAAGAGGTCCAAAAAAGGGTGCCTGAAGTGGGATTCATACCCGCAGTAGGGATGTCAGCGAACGCACTACGCAGGCCTCTGCGCATGCATTGCGTCATCGATTTTTGAACGTGATCGCGGCCGACAAAGAAAAGATGGCAGCGGTCTGTTTGCACCGCTGGGAGTCGTAAAATTACTGTTCTTCTGTCCCCGCGACCATTCAAATCATACGCGATACGAAGGACCCACGTACACGCCACGTTCTCCCGGCTCGATTTCTCTTAAATTTTGCACATCGTGAAACACCAGTATCAGAGGTGTTAAGTCCAATTTTCAAGGGATATCCCTGGTTGGATCATTCCAAAATCAGATTTCCATTTCTCCCTCGCGGCCATTTCTTGCGCGATGGAAGCGCCCTGCCCTGGTGAGTAACCAGTGTCGCGCTTGGTAGAGAGTTGCTGCAATCAGCTCCTTGCTGTCTTCGCTGCAATTGTCAGAAGCGATGGACCATGAATTTGTTTGAGAGTCTCTGGATGCTACTATTCCTCAGCCTAGTTTTTAGCCATTCCGTGCATCTTTATATTATTATTATTACTTGCATGTACGCGTTGGAGTCAACCATGCAAGCATGATCCACAACTTCGCTTATGCTGAACATGATAAACAGGACTATGACAGGGGAAAAAATGAGCTAGAACGATGATAATAATAATTATGATACTTATATCATATATATTATATACAATGTAGCTCATGGGTATTGAAGATATGTCATTTATGAATATGTCCATAATATGAATATTGCAGCCTGAGTGATAATGATAGTGCTATTTCCTGAGTTTGACTGTGTGCATCTTTATAGCACGATTTATTTCGCAAAAAAATGAAAGTGTTCATGAGTTTTCTTGTCGGCCGCGCGTATATGGGCCAGGCTTACCTGCGCAGATGGGCTGCGCAGTGCGTTCGCTGATATGCCTACCCGCAGAGTGCACAGTCGCAGGTTGGGTCAAACGGCCTGGATTTTGATGGCTTTTCCCAATTCAGTGCTCTTGGAGCAAAACCTGTGCAAAATCCTATTCTTGTTAGGGCTTGCTTGCTGTCTAGAAAAGTAGACTTCAGAAACATAGTTGGAAGAGGATTCCAATTGGGATTGCAGAAAATTTCTGAAAAAAACTCTCAGTTTGACCCATTTATGGCCAAAAGCTAGCAGTCCATCTTGTTATGAATAGACTGTAATTTAATTGATACCAACAAATGAGACAGACAGAGGAAGCACATTCACAAGCTCAATGTTGTTCATCAGTCTCAACCACCAGCACATGGCCAGTGTAGATTGCAATGATGCACTCATCTTACTACAGTGCTCTGAAAAAATCTATGTACAGTACCGTATTTTCCGGGGTATAACCCGCACCCCCCTTTTTGAGGCAAAATATTGACTAAAAGTTGGTATTCGGAGTATAAGCCGCACCCACAAAACAAGATTTTTCACACTCATTGACAAATGGCCTTTCTACAAATTTATTATGGTTATGGAGCTAAATACCATGTTAGATCATATTATGAAGTGTTAGTGCACCATAGGATGCTGCAGAGATGTTGGTGTATTGCTGTGTTGACAACAGATCACTCCATGTCATCTGGACTATCTTCAATCTCGCTGGCACTGATGTTGATGAGCAACACAGGCGCGAAGCTGGGTCGAATGACGTGTCACATGACGTCAGCATGCATACTGATGTATGCTAACCATTCATTCGCGCAAGCATACTCGGTGTATAAGCCGCAGGGGCGATTTTGGTCCGATTTTTATTGAAAAAAAAGTGTGGCTTATACCCCGGAAAATACGGTATATCACACCATGAGTATGTCATATCCGTTTATCTGCACAGCTTGCTAATAGCACAAGTCACTCAGCTGCTGATCGCGCTGCTGTCGAACCTGTTGCGGCGGATGCTGCCGACCCTATTGATTCAGTGCAAATCAGACTAGATTTGCTGCAGACCTGGTGTCGCAAGAGTAGATCTGATGTGCGGTATCGCGATGCGGCTGCTGATGATGGCAGGATGGCTTTCAGCATTTTTAGACCCTCCACAAAGCGTAGCTTGTACAGGAAACAGATCCCTGCTACAGTGGATAGGTTGTTGAGGCTTGGGAGGCATGATCTGTCTACAATTATGTGTAGGGCATGGCGCTGTATTTCAGTGAAGCAGACCGAGGTGGTAGAGGCCGCGCTCAACCACACCAGCATGCCATACTCTAACACAGGACAGACAAAGCCATGTTATACGATTGCCAGGTGCTTTGGATCTAGCACAGCCAATGCTTTACGGAAGAAGCCAAGCAGCTGAGCTCCGCGCACTGCAAGCTGTGGAATGTGGGTGTAGAATGCAGAATCCTTGTGAAAGTAACACGAAGAAGCTTGAGTTCCTCCACTTCTGGCATGACTGCTCCTTGGAGTTGGGAGGGTTTGGGGAGCGGTGATGGTTGATGGTCAATTCCTGTGACTTTGTGGGCTCCAACTTGATCCTCCATCTGCTTCTCCATGCTGTTAACGAGGCTACTGCCTGCTGGAGGATTGCTGTTTCTTCCTCCAGTCGGTGTCGGGTGGGGATGCACTTGTTGACAGTGGTCGCGTGTGGCTTGGTGCAAAAGTAAAACGTTGCTCAACTTCTGCAAAAGCGACCTTGCGACTGCTTGCGACGATATGCCACAAGCAGTTTCTTTTGCATGTGTCGTATGTCGCATGTCACGTGGCAGAAAATGAAATTAGTGAAGGGCCTTTGAACTAAGAAATACCAGCATGCTCATAATACTTTCACTCAACAGATGCACGCTTACCGTCACAAGTGAAGCCGTCTCCCTTGTATCCGGTGATGCATTTACACGTAAAACTTCCAATTGTGTTCGTGCATTCGGATACTGTTCCTTTACACTGAGTCAAACACTCGTCAACATCTGAAAAGAATGGAAAAAAGTCAATTTCTACATCAGACAAAGAGCAAGTAGGAACACAAGAAGGCAAGTTTTCTGACATGAAAAAATCTAATTTTTTCCTTGCTGCATGTCAGCGCCTTTAAAGCCATGGCCTTATAGTCGAAGCACCGCTGCTTTCCTGGCTATTTCAGACGTAAAATGACGCACCCACTACCCCATGCAATAAAATTCAATGTCAAAACAGAAATTTCAATCTAAATTGGATAAAAAGAAATGACAAAATGTTATGAGTTATGACTAACTCTTCACCACAGTATCAGTTTGTGGAATGTCTCAGTACTCCTCGTTAGTGTGTCATTTTGCCGCAATCGCTGACTGTATATGATCTGGATACGCTGGTTGACAGTTATTCATAACCCGTAACATTTTGTCCTTTATTTTGATCCTAAATTCACTTGGTCACCATTCCAGCTGGGCTGTAAGTTTCTTACTATAGTACTTTCCCGGCCATTTTTACAAAACATACTTTGAATGTCATTTCATGTATGTGTTGCGTATGGGATGACCTGAAATCTGAACTTACTGATGTCCACTGGAAATGTCACCTCCGCAGCTTGCACGTGGATGATGCTCTTTCGTCTTTCCACTCTATTCTTAGCAGGGCCATGGAGAAGCACCTCGGGTACTTCTCCCGGCATCCACTCTCCCCCTCATGCCGACGTTCAGGTCAGCCACCTTGGGTTGATGCCCCCCTCGGTGCCGCCATTAAGGCAAAGCACGATTTCTACAGTGTGTGTAAGAAATACCCAACCCAGCTTAACATGCATGTATATCGATCTCAACGGAACTTGGTGAAGAGTCTGACTCGATCGAAATACCGGGGATACATTCGGTCCTTACAAGCTACGCTGCAGGACAAAAACCGCCCATCACTGTTTCAGTTCGTGAGCAAATTAAAAACTCATAAAGTATCTCGTGACATCCCGAAACTCACCATTACTTCTACACAGCAGGCTACTACCTCTTCAGCTAAAGCCACTGCATTGAACTCTCAGTTCGCCTTAGGGGCCGTGCCTGATGACCCTTCTCTACCCATTCCCCCCATTGCCGAGGAGTCGGGTGAGGCTAACCGCCTCACATCTGTCTTTACTACGACTGCTGCCATCCGACGTAACATTCGAAAGCTCCCGTCTGACAAGGCGCCAGGCCCAGACGGCACCACTAATCTGGTATTAAAGTCCCTTGCGCCCTCAATAGCATACCCCTTATGTCTGATTTTCAACCTATCATTCCGCACTGGTCGTTTTCCCTCTGCATGGAAAACAGCTAATGTTATACCGATATACAAGAAAGGGTCCCCCCACGAAGCATCAAACTACCGTCCGATATCTCTACTGTCCTGTGTTTCCAAACTCTGTGAGCACGTTTTCTACGACCAATTGTACTGTCATGTCTCGTCACGTTTGAGTTCAGCTCAGTCCGGATTTCGCAGAGGCGATTCTACCACCCTCCAGCTGACGCGCCTGGTGCAATTAGTGTGTCGACATCGGGATGCTGGAGACCTAGTCGGGATCTGTTTTTTCGATCTTGCCAAGGCCTTCGATACCGTCTGGCACCGGGGGCTCTTGGCCAAGCTTCGTGGATCGTTTACTGTAGACGGCAATCCCCTGCTATGGCTGACATCTTACCTAATTGGGCGAACGCAGTACGTCACGGTACATGGGACGTCCTCAGCCGACACAACAGTACTATCCGGAGTTCCCCAGGGTTCCATCCTCGGCCCCCTTCTTTTTTATCTTTGACGTCAATGATCTGCCCGCAGCTGCCCCGGGCACATCACTATTCGCAGACGACACAACGCTCCTACGGGCATCTCCTAACATCACTGGCCTGATGAGTAACCTAGCTAACGGGATTCAAAGAGTAATTTCCTGGATGTCGTCTTGGCGGTTATCGCCCAATCTGTCTAAAACTAAAATCATGCTCTTTCCTTCTCAGCCTGATGTTCCGCCCCTCCTCCATCCCACTTTTCCCCAGCCTATAGACATAGTCTCCAGCCATAAGCATCTTGGCATTTTCATTGACTCTAATCTTTCATGGGAACCCCACATCGATTACATATGTAAACGATCAAGTTCATCTTTAGGAATCCTCTCTTCTCACTGTTACCATCTCCCAATCTCTTGTAAACTCCTCTTTTACTCAGCTTACATACGCCCCATTTTTGATTATGCAGATACTGCTTGGGCTGGAATTTCCACAACCCGTGCTTAAAAGCTCGAAATTCAGCACAAAAAAGTTCTAAAAATCCTCCTCCGGAAACCCCGCATGCTCCCATCTTCCACCCTTTATGCCCTTGCTCACACTACCCCTTTGTCTAAGAGACGTAATTCACATCTTGTCACCCTTATCCATTCTCTCAAACTCAATCGGTGTCCACCTCACCTCCACTGTTTCGACTGGTTTTCTTCCCGTAGCACGAGAAACTCCCTTTCCCTTCCGAAACCCAAGTCCTCCTTTCTACTTCACTCTCCCCTTTGCACTGCGTACTCTGCGTGGCTGGCACTTCCACAAGAAGCTAAGGACCTTACTTCCCTCCGCCTTTTTAAGAGCCTTGTCGCGCCTTGACTTTGATTTTGTGTTTCTCATTTTGTTGCAATCACTACTTATCCATGCCGATTCCTTTTTTTCTTCTCCTCTTCTTCTCCCTTCCTTGCCGTGGTTGGCTAACACCCTCTCTCTCTTTGTATTGGCCGGTGTTCTCACTGTGCTATGAGATGCTGCAATAAATAAATAAATAAATAAATGTAGGAAGCCAACGGCTTTAATATTATTATTATTATTATTCTTCACTAGTTTGAGGGAAAGAGACAAACGGGAAAAGTCTGAAGAAAAAATTGACTGTCACCACCAGGACTCGAACCAGGGACCCTCGCTTGTAGCTAGCGATGCTCTAACCACTGAGCTATGATGTAGTCGTCATCCCAGCAGAGACTGTTCAACATTTTCTTCAGACTTCGTAACTCACACTTCCTGTGAATCCACACAGGCGGGTGGGACGCAGCCCTCACTGTACCCACACACTTCACGTACACTCTAGCACGCGGGGAGCCCCAAGTCATAAAATCTTCACTAGTTTGAGGGAAAGAGACAAACGGGAAAAGTCTGAAGAAAAAATTGACTGTCACCACCAGGACTCGAACCAGGGACCCTCGCTTGTAGCTAGCGATGCTCTAACCACTGAGCTATGATGTAGTCGTCATCCCAGCAGAGACTGTTCAACATTTTCTTCAGACTTCGTAACTCACACTTCCTGTGAATCCACACAGGCGGGTGGGACGCAGCCCTCACTGTACCCACACACTTCACGTACACTCTAGCACGCGGGGAGCCCCAAGTCATAAAATCTTCACTAGTTTGAGGGAAAGAGACAAACGGGAAAAGTCTGAAGAAAAAATTGACTGTCACCACCAGGACTCGAACCAGGGACCCTCGCTTGTAGCTAGCGATGCTCTAACCACTGAGCTATGATGTAGTCGTCATCCCAGCAGAGACTGTTCAACATTTTCTTCAGACTTCGTAACTCACACTTCCTGTGAATCCACACAGGCGGGTGGGACGCAGCCCTCACTGTACCCACACACTTCACGTACACTCTAGCACGCGGGGAGCCCCAAGTCATAAAATCTTCACTAGTTTGAGGGAAAGAGACAAACGGGAAAAGTCTGAAGAAAAAATTGACTGTCACCACCAGGACTCGAACCAGGGACCCTCGCTTGTAGCTAGCGATGCTCTAACCACTGAGCTATGATGTAGTCGTCATCCCAGCAGAGACTGTTCAACATTTTCTTCAGACTTCGTAACTCACACTTCCTGTGAATCCACACAGGCGGGTGGGACGCAGCCCTCACTGTACCCACACACTTCACGTACACTCTAGCACGCGGGGAGCCCCAAGTCATAAAATCTTCACTAGTTTGAGGGAAAGAGACAAACGGGAAAAGTCTGAAGAAAAAATTGACTGTCACCACCAGGACTCGAACCAGGGACCCTCGCTTGTAGCTAGCGATGCTCTAACCACTGAGCTATGATGTAGTCGTCATCCCAGCAGAGACTGTTCAACATTTTCTTCAGACTTCGTAACTCACACTTCCTGTGAATCCACACAGGCGGGTGGGACGCAGCCCTCACTGTACCCACACACTTCACGTACACTCTAGCACGCGGGGAGCCCCAAGTCATAAAATCTTCACTAGTTTGAGGGAAAGAGACAAACGGGAAAAGTCTGAAGAAAAAATTGACTGTCACCACCAGGACTCGAACCAGGGACCCTCGCTTGTAGCTAGCGATGCTCTAACCACTGAGCTATGATGTAGTCGTCATCCCAGCAGAGACTGTTCAACATTTTCTTCAGACTTCGTAACTCACACTTCCTGTGAATCCACACAGGCGGGTGGGACGCAGCCCTCACTGTACCCACACACTTCACGTACACTCTAGCACGCGGGGAGCCCCAAGTCATAAAATCTTCACTAGTTTGAGGGAAAGAGACAAACGGGAAAAGTCTGAAGAAAAAATTGACTGTCACCACCAGGACTCGAACCAGGGACCCTCGCTTGTAGCTAGCGATGCTCTAACCACTGAGCTATGATGTAGTCGTCATCCCAGCAGAGACTGTTCAACATTTTCTTCAGACTTCGTAACTCACACTTCCTGTGAATCCACACAGGCGGGTGGGACGCAGCCCTCACTGTACCCACACACTTCACGTACACTCTAGCACGCGGGGAGCCCCAAGTCATAAAATCTTCACTAGTTTGAGGGAAAGAGACAAACGGGAAAAGTCTGAAGAAAAAATTGACTGTCACCACCAGGACTCGAACCAGGGACCCTCGCTTGTAGCTAGCGATGCTCTAACCACTGAGCTATGATGTAGTCGTCATCCCAGCAGAGACTGTTCAACATTTTCTTCAGACTTCGTAACTCACACTTCCTGTGAATCCACACAGGCGGGTGGGACG